ATTCCTGATGTTCTCCCTCCCCGCACAGGCCATCTGCCCGATTTCCCCACCAGCGGAGGAAGAAGAGGAGAGAGATGGATGACGGGCTTGCCGAGGGAGGGCCACAACGATCCAGTGAGTAGGCAGTGGCCCTAGAGGGTGGGCAACTATATAGGGCTATGTGAAGATGTTCACATCCCTCCCTCTCTCACCACCCTAGACACATACGTGATCAAGCTGTTTGACCGAAGCGTGGACTTGGCTCAGTTCAGTGAGAACACACCACTGTACCCGATCTGCCGAGCCTGGATGCGCAACAGCCCCACAGTGCGCGAAAGGGAATGCTCACCCAGCTCACCGCTGCCCCCACTGCCTGAGGATGAGGAGGTGGGATTGGGGGGACAGTGGGTAGACAGTCACAAGGTACCCTCCCCTCAAGCTAATGGGATAGACAGGGACAGGGCTCTGAGTCCCTCAAGCGCCTCCTGGATCCAGTGAGGCACACGTTTGGGAACCCTTAGGCCAAGAGAATGGTTGGAGCGCCCTAAAGCAGACAGACATGGCTATCTGGTCTGGAAGGAAGAGGGGACATGGTTCCCCTTGGCAGATAGAGGTGACCTCCAAAATCAGGGTCCCCAAGAGCTGGGGGATAGGGAGGGTACAGGTGTAGTCACCTGGCCTAGGGGAGCAGGTGGGGATCCCTTGGGCTGGGAAGGGTAGGTGGAGGTCTCTATGCTGAGCAGGGGTAACTGGGGATCCCTGGGTTGGGACAGGAGAAAACAGAGATCCTTGGAGCAGACAGACATGACTCCTCACCATAGGTCCCTGGTGTAGGTCCCATAGGTCCCTTTTGTCATGGGTACCCCTGGCCCTCCTCTCTGATTCTCTGGTTGGGGCCCTTGTATCCCCAGGGTTCAGAAGTCACCAATAACAAGAGTCGTGATGTGTACAAGCTGCCTCCACCCACAGCCCCTGGGCCACCTGGAGATGCCTGTAGATCCCGAATTCCATCCCCACTGCAGCCTGAGACCCAGGGTACCCCCGACGATGAGGTGGGTTTGCAAGGCTGTGCCGGGGTGATGAGGCATATGTTGCGGGGCTTGGGCATGGCCACTCAGCCTGGCCTGTCTATCTCTGCAGCCCTCTGAGCCTGAGCCCTCACCCTCCACACTCATCTACCGAAACATGCAGCGCTGGAAACGCATCCGGCAGAGGTGAGCATCCGCCATCCTGCTTGTTCCCCATGGCCTCTGCTCCAACTACTGAGTCTTCCCTCTGCCTTCCCACCCCCACTGCAGGTGGAAGGAGGCATCTCATCGGAACCAGCTTCGTTACTCAGAAAGCATGAAGATCCTACGGGAAATGTACGAGCGACAGTGATGTTCCCCTGTCCCCCCGCCAAATAAACATTCCCCTCCTCCACACTGGCCTCCACTTGCTCCAGCCCATCCTTCCTGGCCCAGACATAAACCCATTGGCACAGCTCTAGTACATTTATTAGGAGAGTGGGCCTAGGTGAGGGGATGGGGCACTTAGGAATTTGAGGAGGGAGAAAGACTGGAGGGAATCAAAGAAAGTGGCTGCTTGATTGAGAAAAGGGGGAGTGGTGTGGAAGGTGGATTGCCTGGGATATGTGGTTGGAGACTTGAGGGTCAAGAGAAAGTGACTGGGGAGGTTCTGGTTAGAGCTGGGGATGGGGGCCTGGGATATCCGTGTAGTCTGGGGAGATGGGGTGGGTATCTGTACGGTTTGAGGTTGAGGGTTCTGGTTGGTCTAGGTCTACAATAGGTCTACAAGGGTGAGGGTCAGAAAAGGGGTTCAGGAGTCTGGGGATGTCTGGCTGGCGTTTTAAAAGTCAGAAGATAGGGTTGGGGGAAGTGAAGTGTGGGGTTGGAATGAGGGGAAGGATGCAGAGTCTTCGGGACCAGGCCAGGGTGGTACAGGATAGGAGGTCTGTGCAGAGTCTGGGACATTTGAGGGAAAGGTTAGGGGCAAGGGCGGGTGGGTTATACCTGACTGGCCTAGGTTTAGGGTAGGGGGCAGGGCTGTCTACACTATGTGCTGGTGCAGGAGGGAAGACTGAAACGGGATGTGGAGATCTTTTCGTAGAGGACTCAGAAGGAAAAAGGGAGTTTGGAGTGGGGTTATATGCCAAGTGAGATCTGTGGGGATGAGACACTGTAGGCTGAGGGATTGTGCTTGTAGGGTCTGGAAGTTAGAGGGGTGAGGAGGGTGTGAAAGCTGGAGAGGGTATGAGAGCGAGAGTTTCAGTGGAAAGGTCTAGGTTTTCAGGGCTGAGTCTAGGTTGGAAGGGTCAAGGCAGATCCCAGATTGGGTGGGCGGGTAGTCTTGGCGCGCGCTCCGGGACATCTGGCTGGGTGGAGTCAGGTCGGCTTTAAAACGCGGGGACTGAGGGGGGCCCCCGGGATTCAGGCAAGGCCTGGACCTCTACTTGGCAGCAGCCGGCGGCGACGTAAGTGGGGCCTGGGCCGGCGCAGGTGCGGCCTGGATGGACAGGACGCCCTCAGGGGACAGCGCGGACGTCACGGCAGCAGGGTCCACGCCAGGCGGCAAGCGGTAGCGGCGGTGGAACTCGCGCGAGACGTATCCGTGCTCATCCTGGAGGGAAAGAGGCTTGAGCGGCTCTGTCAGTTCCCAGTAGATGCCCCGCCCCTCCGGCCTGCGGGTCCCGCCTACGTGTTCTGGTCCCGCCCCTCCAGCGGGCTCACCGGGCGCTCCTCGTGGCGCGCATGCACCTCCACGTGGTCACCAACCACCTTGACGGCGATTTCCTCTGGCGAGAAGTGCTTCACATCGAGCAGCACCGAGAAATGCCCTGGGTCGGTCGGCACCTGCGCACGGCCCGATTGTCATCGGAAGGGACGAGTCTCTAGGGACCCAGCAAGACCCTTCCCCCGTCGGTTCCCCGTCCATTCTGGTGCTGCAGCTGATCCTGGCCTCCGGAACTGGATGTCTCCTTTCTACTCGCAGCCACCGAGAATCTCTTCACCCAGAATAAATGGGATCATCCCTCCCCTTGTAATCACTGGGATTCCCCTTTCACCCAGAGTGATGAGGCCCCCTTCCCCTGCAAGGTCAGGGACCTCCACCCTCACAGCGTAAGGCCTGCCCTCTCCACCAGTGTCAACAGCCCCGTAGTCAGCCCGTCCTTCTGGACACTGACTCCTCAGCTCCCTTCCCCTCAGAGCCCCTGGGGCCCTTACTGCTCCACCCCTGCCAGAAATCACCAAGATGCCTCCTCCCCCAGTCTCCGGAGTCCCCTTTCTACCCTCCCACTCGAGTCACGGGATTGCTTGAGCCCTCAGCATTTACTAGTACAACTCCCCCGCTTCCGACTGGCCAGACCCTCCTTTCTCAAGTCGCAGGACCCTCCCTCCTCTCTACCTCTCCAAGAGGCAGTCTCCAAACTCTCCCTCAAGAATAACAAAACATTCAGTCCCTTCAGGAGTCACTGGGAGCCCTCCGCCCTTCAGAATGACTGGGCTCCGCTTTTCCCCAAATTCCCTGGGTCATCAGCCTCCCGCGGAGTTACCAAGACTCCCCTCAGAGTAACTGCCCCCACCTTATTAGTGACCCAGCCCTTCCACTCCTGTCGGAGCTTAGACCCTCCTCAGATCCACGGGGACCTCCCACCGCTTTCAGTAATCTGGCCTTCGAGAATCCATACGCAGGGAACTCCGGAAGCCCCTCTGAGTGGCTGGATTCTCCACCCCGTTCAAAGTCAAGGGACATTCCTTTACCCACCCCCACCCCCCGCCCCTCTCAGGATAACCAGGGACCCCAGCCTCGGAAGTGGTCGGGTTACCGCTCCTCCCCCAGGCCTGGCACCTGGGCGGTAGGCAGCGCCACGCTGGGTGCGCGCAGGTAGTAGGGGGCCAGCGCGGCCGGGCAGAGCGCAGCCAGCTCCGCCTCCAGCAGCCCCTCTCCAAAGCGCTGGTCGAACAGGCGCCCGGGAGCCGAAACCCCGGGCAACGGGGCTGAGACGCGGCGCAGCCAAGAAGGCTGCACAGGCACCGGGATCTCCATCCTGCTCCGCCGCCGCCGCCGCCGCCCTAGGCTCCGCAGTGCCCCAGCGAGCGCCGCCGCTGCTTTATAGTAACGCCCTGCGTCCGCCCCTCGGCGGGCCGCCCGGGGACATTGGGACCGCGGCCAGAGCCGGCCATTAGTAGAGCCTTATTTAGAAAGCCCAACAATGACTTGGCCATTTATTAAGCGCCTGCTGGATGCCAGGGAGGTATCATCCTCCAAATTTCCGCAGGGGAAACTAAGGCAGAGGAGGCGGAGCCTTGCCAGAGTGGGGAGCACAGCGTGGCGTTTGGGACCCATGGCCTGAGAAGCCCACCGAAGAATTCCCAGTCCCTTTAATCTACCCCCGCCCCGAAGGCGCTCTAAGGATGACGCAGATGGCGGTCTTAGGAACAGATTCCTGGGTACAGGGAATGCGGTAGCCAGGCCAGGCTGTCAGGAGGACACAGAACAGACCCTATTCCCATCTCAGCAAGGCCCTGGGCCCAGCCCCCCAGCAAGCCGGGCCTAATTCTGTGCCTCTGACTCAGCCTCGGGTGTGTAGGGCAGCGGGGTCTGCCAGGTGAGCAGCAGCCAGTGGGCGCAGGCACGAAGAGTCCAGGCTGGCCCCCCGGGGGCCGCGAGCAGGGGACCGAAATAGCTCATTTTGATCCTGCCACCTCGGCCAGGAGCCCAGGCCTGGCACTTGGAGCAACCAGCTGCTCCTGGAGCAAGACGGAAGGGGTTAGATGATCGAGTGGGATTTGTAGGCTGGCTGGACTGATGGAGAGACGGCGGTTAGAGAGGGGCTAGATTATCTGATTGCCCCTGCAACGGGAAAAACCGTCATTAGACTGGAGTCTGGTTGAGATTTATGCGGCAAGAAGGGAGTGGTTAGAATACACGACTACAGAAAAGTGAGAGTACATTGGAACCCCTCCTACCTGTGAGATCCTTTCCATTGGTCCACTAGCTTGCCAATTACTGCAGCTCCCTACGATTCTCCAGTCAAACATGCCTTCTCATTCACGTTACAGCCAATTGTGAGAAATTAATTTTATTTTCCTCTCTATCATTGGTCACCTTGGAGGCCGCTCTCTTCCCGCGCGGGCACTCTCAGAGAGGGGAGGGACTGATAGGGCATTGCTAAGCGACAGAGATGCGCTCCGGTTGAGTCCGGTGACCCAGCGGAGTAAGCGGAATCGCCGAGGTAGCTGCGGGATGGACCGCAGGTGAGGCCGATCCCTCTTCCGGGGATTACAGGAGACCTGGAGAGGACCAAGGGTGAGAGCAACACAGCCTGGGGTCAGGCTTGCTAGGGTCTGGAGTCTGTCGTTCTCAGCTGCACTGGAACTACAACTTCCAAGATGCTCCACAGCCTTAAGCTGCTTCCGCCTTGAATTTCACCATCCTGTGGGTCCCATTGCGTTTTACTTTCCTCTAAGTGGCCCCAAAGGCTTTTTTACCTCTAAGAGTGTCCAGGGGCATCTTGAGAATTAAATTTCTTAATTTTGAAATTGTCCCCAGACTCCCATGGGTGTTATTTTTTACCTTTCTTTCTTAGGCGGATCCCAAGGACTATAGGGATTGTAGTCCATCTACCGTTTTCTTCTTAAAGTCCCAAGGGCTTATGGAAAACGTACGGCGATCGGGTTTAGCCTTGGCTCTTAACCTGAGCTTCAGAATCACTTGGGGCTCTGAGAAAAAGATGTATGTGGATGCCTAGACCCCTTCCAGATATCCTGGTTCTTTGGATCTGGAGTGTGGACCGCGCACCTGTATTTTTAACAGACTCCTTCTAGACTGGATCCAGGGTTAAGAATCACTTGCTAACAGTTCCTGGAGTTTTCACTTTTGAGGCCGCTCCAAGGGCTGGTGGGAATCGTGCCTCCAGTATCATTATTTTGAATGTGCAGTGGTGCTTCGTGGGAGTTAGTCCATCTCTTCCAGGGATCCATGGGAATTGCATGGTTCAGCCCTCCTTTTCCCAGCCACTGCCAACTACACTCCCCCTAACAGGGCTGCAGTGACCATGCTCTGCCTCCCAACCCCCTCTTTCTTTGCAGCTTGCCAATTTTCTCCACCCAAGACAGACCCTCTGGGGATGCTCCTCCGGGTCGTCGAAGCCACTACTGGACATCCCGAAGCCAGAACTGGCATCCCAAGGTGTCCAAGGTGAGGACACCCCAAAGGGAGTGCTGTGTGCCGGCCCAGTAGCAAGGGAGTGATGACTAGAGGCAAGGAAGATGTGATGAGAGATGGGGGGGTGAGAGATTAAAAGGCTGTCTCCTCTCCTCCCCACCGCGCTGCCCTTATCCTGTCTTCTACCACTTGGATCCCCTATTACAGCCCTGATAACTCTGAGTTGTTGCCATTGTGAGATGTGTTTCCTCCCCTCTGGAATGACACTTCTTATGTAACTTTGTTCCCTAACTCAGGCCTCACTTTTTCTTCTCCCTACCTCCCCCATCTTAGACCCTGAGTTCATCCAGGTCCCAGAAATCCAGGCTCCCAGAAGCTCCCAAAGCTCTAGCCACTGGTCCTAACTCCCCTGAGCTGTTTGAGGAATCCTGGCCATCCAGCTCAGGGACCTCTTCCCTACCCAGCACCACTGAGGGACAGATGGGAGCATCCCCACCACCCATCCTGACTGACAGTGGGGACTCCATAGTGGCCAAGTAAGTCCCAGCAACCCTAGGGGGAAAGAAGGGTTTGGATCAGGGGAAGGGGGCAGACATCTCATAATAATAACCAGAGCCAGAGTTAGGGTCACATTTCATACATGATATTAAGATCTCTGGAGCTAGGTTCAAATCCCAGCCTTGTCACTAACTTTCTATATGATCTTGGCCTCAGTTTCTTCATCTGTAAATTAGGAATGTTAATATCACATATCCTCTAAGGCCGTTTTAAGTGTTCAATGAATTATTGTTTGCACACCATCTATAACAATGCTCATCACATAGTGAGCACTTGGATTTGTAGGATCCAAGTTCAGCTGCTGTAACAAAGAGTCCCAAATTACTTCTGGATTAAACAAGAGAGTATTTCTCCCTCACCTAATGGTCCAGGCAGAAACAACCAGGACTGATATGGCAGCCCCTAACTGAGGCGTCAGAGGCACTATTTCCTTCTATCTTGTTGCTCTCCCTTCCCTAGGCTGTTGCCCTTTCCTTCATGGACCATAATGGCTCCAAGCCACATTTACTTTCCAGGATCACATCTCCTCATATCTGATGGTCAAGGACATAGTTATGTGGCCATAAAGCTACAAAGGCACCTGGTAAATGTATTTATAGAAAAACAGCTATGTGCCCAGGATTTTATCGTCTTATATAATATTGCGTTACCATACAAGAAAGGAGAGCAAGATATTGAGGGACAACTCCCAAGTGCTGCCATGGTGCTAGATAAACATTGGCTATTGTGATTATTTTGTTATTATTGTTTGGCTCCCCCTCATCCCACTCACCTCCCAGTTCTCTGATGCTCACAGGTACATAAACCGGTTCCGCCAGGCTCAGCCGACAAGCCGAGAGGAACGCCAGCCTGCAGGCCCAACCCCAGCTGACTTTTGGTGGCTACAGCCTGAATCTCCAGACCCTAGCAGTCAACTTGCAGCAGGTACCTTCTTCAGTCTCATCTTCTCCTGACCTATAACCTTTCCTGAGCGATACCCCCAGCTACTCCTCCTGGCCTCCCTCCCCTAAATCAATTGGGGCTTCTCAGCAGGAGCCAGTGAACCAGAAGGAAGACCCAACACAGCAGTTCCAAGTCTTGCCAAGGTGGCCAGCACATCACAGGCTAAGGCTATGGCCCCCCTTCAGGATATAAAGCAGGTGACACCCCCATTTGCTCCTTCCCCTGCACACCTTAACTGACAGCACCAGCCCTGGGATAGAACTAGAGCCAATCCCCAATTCAAGGGAGCTTAAACAAAAAAGGGGGGATTTGTTGGCTAATGCAATCAAGAAATCCAAAAGAGATGCTTTCAGGCTTAGCTCGATCTAGGTGTTTGAACGATATTGGGAGGAACTCAACTCTCTTGGTGCTCTGTTCCTCTTTGTTTGGCTCAGTCTGAGGTAGGCTTTCCCCTCAAAATAGCTAAGATGGCCCCAGTAGCTCTAGGTTTCTAATGTACTTAGTTACTCCATTGGAAACGAAGGCTTTTCCAATAGCTCCATCCGAAGCCCCAGGGCTTACTTTCATTCGCTCATCTTTGAGCCGATCACTGTGAACCAGAGGACAGAAAGTTGTGACTAGCCAGGCCTGGTCAGGAAGGTAGAGTCAGCCCTTCTACCATAACAATGACTGCACTGAGGGGTGAGGTTCCATAGAAGAAAACTGGATCTCTTTTCCTGAGGAGGAGCAGATTCTAAGTCAGCATGTGAGGGTACCAGGTGGAGTGCAGACCTGCCTCCAGTCCCTCTGTCCAGAGCCCCTTTCCCAGCAGCCTTTGGAAGAGGGGCTGGCCTCTGACCCCTCTCACCTCACAGAGCCTGAACACGTGGAACTCATCCCTGCTGGACTTGGAGACACTGAGCCTGCAAAGCAGAGCTGCCAAGCTACTCGAGCGCAGGTGCGTCACCTGCCCCATCTTCCCCTCCCCACACCTACCTCCCCGGGCCTGGCCCAGGGCCTCTGAGACCCCTGTTGCCTCAGTTCTGCCTTCCCCCTACAGCAAGGCCTCCATCTCCTCCTCCTCCCTCAGTCCTGGTGATGCCAGCAGCTCCTCATTCCCCATCAGCTCTGATGGCCTCTCTCCCTTCTCCATGACTTTCAACCCTGACTCCATCAAGGGCTCTGACCCAAAGGCACAAGGTAAGTTCTGGGAGGCAAGGATGAGGGCAGTCTGGGTGCAAATCCCAGCTCTGCAGCTTACCAGCTGTGTGATCTTGGGCCCCTCTGAGCCTCATGTCCCCAACTTTAAAACAGGAATAATGATTGTATTTCTCTGCTGTGTGTGTTGTGAGGAGTAAATGAGTTGGTGAGTACGTGGAACACTTAGCACAGCTCTGTTAACAGTAGCTATCACCAGTATGCTGGTTCTCCCTCTGACCCCTGTCTGTAGTTCTGACCACAGAGCTCCAAAATCAGGATTTTTGCAAATTTGGCATCATACCTGATTTGCCAGCAAAATCTGACTTAAATAGTATGAAGAATATTTATGATCTAAATATCTATCTCGGGGGGTCGGTATAGCTCAGTGCTAGAGCACATGCTTAGCATACATGAGGTTCAATCCCCAGTACATCCATTAAAAAATAACAATAAAAATAAAAGAAATATCTATCTTATTTAGGGTGAATATTTATACTTTTCAAAAATGACGCATAGCCGATTTATAATACTAATAAAAGTTTCAAGCATACAACATAGTGATTCAAAATTTTTATAGGTTATACTCCTTTTAAAGTTATTATAAAATATTAGCTATACTCCCTATGCTACACAATGTATCTTTTGTAGCTTATTTATTTTATTCATAGTTGGATTTGTACCTCTTAATCCTCTACCCCTATCTTGCCCCTTCCCTCTTTCCTCTCCCCACAGGTAACCACAAGTTTGTTCTCTGTATTTGTGAATCTGCTTCTGTTTTGTTACATCATTCATTTGTTTTATTCTTCAGATTCCACATATAAGTGATAACACAGTACTTGTCTTTCTCTGTCTTATTTCGCTAAGCATAATACCCTCCAGTTCCATCCATGTTGTTGCAAATGGTAGAATTTTATTCTTTTTTATGGATGAGTTGTATTCCATTGTATAAATACACCACATCTTTATCCATTCATCTGTTGATGAACACTTAGATTGCTTCCATATCTTGGCTATTGTAAATAAAATGCTGCAGGGAACATTGGGGTGCATGTAGTTTATCAAGTTAATGTTTTTGTTTTCTTCAGATATATACCCAGGAGTGGAATTGCTGGATCATATGGTAGTTCTATTTTTAGTTTTTTGAGGACTCTCCATACTGTTTTCTATAGTGGCTGCACCAATTTATAGTCCCACTAACAGTGTACAAGGGTTCCCTTTTCTCCACATCTTCACCAATATTTATTATTTGTGGTCTTTTTGATGATAGTTATTCTGACAGGTGTGAAGTGATATCTCATTGTAGTTTTGATTTGCATTTCTCTGATGATTAGCAATGTTGAGCATCTTTTCATAGGCCTGTTGGCCATCTGTATGTCTTCTTTGGGAAAATATCTATTCAGGTCTTCTGCCCATTTTTAAATTTTTTTTTAATGTTGAGTTATATGAGCTGTTTATATATTTTGGATATTAACCCCTTATCAGTCATATCATTTGCAAATATTTTCTTCCATTCAGTAGGTTGTCTTTTTGTTTTGTTGATGGTTTCTTTTGCTATACAAAGGTTTTAAGTTTAATTAGGTCCCACTTGTTTATTTTTCTTTTTGTTTCCTTTGCCTTAGGAGATAGATCCACAAAAGTATTGCTACAGTTTTTGTCAAAGAGTGTTCTGCCTATGTTTTCTTCTAGGATTTTTGTTTTCAGGTCTTACATTTAGATCTTTAATCCATTTTAAGTTCATTCTTGTATACGGTATTAGAAAATGTTCTAATTTCATTCTTTTACATGTAGCTGTCTAGTTTTTCTAGCACCACTTACTGAAGAGACTTTTCTCCATTATATATTCTTGCCTTCTTTGTTGTAGATTAATTGACCATAAGAGTGTGGGTGTATTTCTGGGCTTTCTATTCTAGTCCATTGATGTATGTGTCTGTTTTGATTATTGTAGCTTTGTAATATAGTCTGAAGTTAGGGAATACATATTTATACTTTTTACTATGGATATATAATATTGAGCCATATAAAATTTGTCTTTGTTTAGATAGAAAGGGAATTAAGTGTAGAAAGGGGAAATAAGGTAAACAGAAAAATATCTGTATATAAATATAAAAAGACATGGAAGAATTAAATTGTTAGTCATTGTTGTTCTGGGGAGAGCAGTGTTATTAGGGAAGGGGTGAAAGTCATTTTTACTTTTTAATCCATAGATGCTGCACTGAACAGTCATAAATTTATACAGTAACTTTTAATTGAAAACTATGAAAAGTAAAAAAAAATTAATTAAAAAAAGTTTGTGTCTTTGTAAGTGAAAAATGGTTGAATATTGGTAATTTCATATTGTTCAACCAAATATCAACGTTTTTGAGTCTGGTGTACTGACCTAGACTCCTATCAACACTGTACATACTGTGCGACATTGCTAAAACATGCAAATTGTTGAACTCTCAAATTTCTGTCCCCAGGATTTCAGAGATTGGATTAAGGACCTGGGTTACTATTACTGTCATCATTGTCATTACTATTGCTCTGTGCCCAGGTCCTAGGATGCAGTGGTGAACATGACAGATGTTCTCCACATCTCTTGGGACTCCCGTGAGGGGGGACAGGCAAGCACAGAAAACAGAGCAGTGTTTGTGCATGTTGTGTGATCCTGTCCACACACTTGCTTGTCTGATTCTTTGCTCCTTCTAAGCTTCCCTTTTTATTCATGTCTCCTTCCTGAGCCTCAGTTTCCTCATCTGTAAAATGGGGATAAAACTACTACCTCCCTCATGGTTGTTTTGCAGATTAAATGCTCATTCCTTCATGTACCAAACATTGACTACCTATTGTGTATGAGCCTGTGAGCAGGATTGGGGATTCCTTAATGAACCAACATATGTGGGTCCACTTTCATGGTCCTCATGGCATAGCTAGTGTGGGGCCAAGAAAAGCTACATAACCCCACAAACAAATGTGAAATGTAAGCAGAAATAAGGGACATGCCAGAGAGGATTGTGATGCTGGGAAGTCAGAAAAGGCCTTCCCAGAAGAGGTGCTATCGAAGTGGAGACCTGAATGATGAAGGTGGGGACTGTAGCCTCCCCCCGCATGTACAAAGGACCTGAGGTGAGAGGAAACATGATGCAGACGATGGACTAGAAAAGGAAAGAGCCAGGGGTAAGAGTAGTGGACGATAAGTTGGAAGAGATTGGTGGGGGTCAGATTACATGGGGCCATGTAGGCATGTGAGGCGTTTGGTGATTATCTTTTGGGGAGCCACAGTAGGGTTCTAAGCAAGGAGGAGATATGATCATTGTTCGGTGTTGACAAACCCCCTCTGGCTGCTGTCAACACCTAGTGAAAGATGCTGGTAGTTTGGCCTGGGCCAGAGCCTGAGGGGCAGAGTAGAGGGAATGGGCCAGGTTGGGAAGTAGAATCACAGGACACAGAGGGGAGGGGAGGAGGAATCCTGGATGATGCCCCCTTCTCTGTGCAGCATCAGGAGGCAGGGCTTCTGAGAGGTAATGGTAGATCATGACTGATGAAATGATGCTCTGGGTAATGGGGTATGATGGCTATTTGGGCAGCCAGTGGCCTTGTCCTTAGTCACTGCTGTATCCCTAGCAAGGGCTGGGCACTGGGACGGAGCACAAGAAACAGTTCATTTTGCATTTATGCCACTAATAATGACACTAGGCCCTGTTCCTGACACTGGGGATATGGTAATGGCCAGACAGACAAAAATTGCTGCCCTTATGGAAAACATTATGGAGATTCCTTCAAAAAACTAAAAGTAGAGTTACCATGTGATCCAGCAGTCTTACTGATGGGCATGTATCCAGAAAAAATGAAAACTCTAATTCGAAAAGATACATTCACCCCAATGTTCACAGCAGCACAATTTATAAGCCAAGACATGGAAACAACCTATATGTCCATCAACGGATGATTGGATAAAGAAGTTGTGGTATATATATGTATATACACATACACACAGTGGAATACTACTCAGCTATAAAAAAGAATGAAATAATGCCATTTGCAGCAACATGAATGGACCCAAAGATTATCACACTGAGTGAAGTAAGTCAGACAGAGAAAGACAAATATATATCACTTATATGTGGACTCTAAAAAAATGACACAAGTGAACTTATTTACAAAACAGAAACAGACTCACAGACAAAGAAAACAAATCAAAGGGGAAAGGGGGTGGGGGAGGGATAAATTAGGAGTTTGGGATTTACAGATATGAACTACTATATATAAAATAGATAAACAACAATGTCCTACTGTATAGCACAGGGAACTATATTCAATATCTTTCTTGTAATAGCCTATAATGAAAAAGAATATATGTATGTATGTATAGCTGAATCACTATGCTGCACCCCAGAAACTAACACAACACTGGAAATCAACTATAGTTCAATTTAAAAAAATTGCTGCCCTCATGTAGCTGGCATTGTGGAGGGAGAGATGAACAGTAAATAAGCATGGAAGTATGATATTTAGTAGTTAGAAGATGATAAGTGCTAAGGAGAGAAATGGAACAGAAAGGAGGAGAGAGAGTGGGAGGGCTGGGATTGTTGCAGTTTTGAGTACAGAAGCCAGGGAAGGCCTCACTAAGAAGGTGACACTTGGGCAAATATCTGCAAGACTTGAAGTAAACCCTGTGGGTACTTGACGGAAGAGCATTCCAGGCAGAGGGGACCGCAAATGCAAAGGCTTTTGCTTTTGAGGAAAGAGGTGCAGCCTGGGGAGGATTCTCAACCCGGAGGGCTCTGAATTGACTCAGGTGTTCACAGGCTCCCACTGGCTGCAGGCAGGAAAAGTTTGGGAGGACAGGCGAGAAGGGAAACCAGGAACCAGGGAGGAGGTTGCTGTGGGGTTGGCAGGTGAGGGCAGTAATACAGGGGAAACTGGGCAGATTCTGGAGGCTCTGTCGTGTTCACTGCTGTAACTACAATGTCCAGAACAGTGCCTGGCACATAGTAAGAGCTCAATAAATATTTATTGATGAATGAAGAATTGAATGATGACAAGCTGAGAAGCCTATGAGTGCTCTCTTTTCTGATTCTGCCCCACTTGTTAGTCTACAGAGGAGTTGGGACATTATTTGGAGAGCCTGTCTGAATGACTCACTTTCCAGTGCGAAGGGTATGTGCTCAGGCTGTCTTTGCAATACTCATCACCCCAGGCCCTGCCTTACCCCCTCTTCCCTCTCCTTACTCCACAGCAACCCCAGCACCTGCCCCCATCCCTTCTCCAACCCCGGCCTCTTCCCAGGCACCCTTGCGGCCAGAGGATGACATTCTGTACCAGTGGCGGCAGCGGCGGAAACTTGAACAGGCTCGAGGAAGCCAGGGTGATGGAACCTGGGTGCTACCCCGAACCCCTGCCCTCACCACTACGGTGAGAATGGGGAGGGAGGAGCCTGAAGGGGCTGGAGGGGGGATCCTAAGAGAAATTGGAGGAAGGGGGAGGCTGAGGGGGACTGAGGACCCCCTATCCTTTCTCTCCCGTTCAGGTTCCTACCCCCATCTGTCTACAGACCCCTCCTGCTCATGAGGAGACCCTTGGTTCCCTGAGAACCCAGCCTAACTACATCCCACTTGGGAGCAGTGTGGCTCTGCCTCCTCCCCCAGAAGCCTTCCATGTGGAAAGGCCTCTTATTCCTCCGGGGTTCTCTCCACATATCTTTTGGGGCCCCAGTCATCATGGGTTCTTCTGGGGCCCGCCGCCCAGTCCCTGGGTATCTCTTGGGGTCCTTCCTCCCACGCCCCCCGTCTCCACCTCGGCGCCCCCGACTTCCATTCCTGCTCCCCCAGCCTCCACCCTTGCGACCCTTGCCTCCACTCCTGCGCCTCCTGCCACCCCCCAGGGCTCGCCTACCCCTGCACCAAGCAGCCCTGCCAAGCTCGAGAGACAGGATTCCAAGCTCTGGAGAAGCAGAGTCCCACGCTGCCGGGAGTCTGCTGGGCGAGTCACGGCAGCGGGCAAGGGGCCGGCAGCGGACGAGGGGCCGGGCCCGCAGCTCAGAGGCGCCGTGGGCCAGGTAGTAACGGCTCGGCTGTTTCCCGATAGCCTGGAGGACACGGCTCCTCGCCCTGACGGTCCTCCTCCACGGGAGGCTGAATCTTGGAAAGTCAAGGACGCACACCTTCAAACCAGGATTACATCCCCTCGCTCAGAGGTCACGGCTCCTCTGTCTGAATCACGGTTCCCACAGGCAGAGACCCCGCCGAGTCGCTCTAAGGCGAATGCCAAGACCATGCTCCCCCTATCGGGGTCTGTGCCTAGGAAGAACAAAGATACTCCCTCTGCTGAAGCCGAGCATCTGCAGCCCAAGGTCCCGCCCTCTCCAGCTGAGGAGGCGGCTACAGGTGTCAAGACCCCGCCCCCTCCATTTAAGACTGGGTCGCTTGAGGTCGTGGCCACGCCCTTATCTACTGATTGCCACGCCCCCTCAGAGGACCTGCTCTCCCAGGCTGCCAGACTCCTGCAGGCCGCGGAAGGTGAGCAAATGTGCGCCGCAGGTGCGCGTGGCTGCCCAGATCTGGTTGGCAGTCCGGCAACCCATGAGTCCCGCCCCCACGAATCTCTTTTTCCTCCAGACTCCGACGGCAGCGAGTTCCAGGACGACCCTGTACTGCAGGTGTTAAGGGTTCAGAGGGCGGAGCTGCGGCGGCAGAAAAGGTGACCATCACCGGGATAAAAACCCCCGAATTCTTTGAGATCCTCATTTGGTGCACCTCTCCTGAGCCCCTTTCCCAGAACCGTCTACAGCTCCAGACCCCAATCCTGAGCATACACCTCAGCCTCTACTGCCCTGGCTTTTTTCAGGAAAGTGGATGCCCAATTATCCCGCTTGCTGGGCCAGACTGAAGACCTGGGATCTTAGTCTCCTCTAGACAGGTCGCCTCCTGGATCCCCAAGGATGCGGCTGCGGAGGGAGAGAGACTCTCTTGAGGCCAGATGACTTTGAATTGCACAAATTCTGTTTTTCCTAATAAATTTTTTTTTCAGGTTACTAGTTGTTTTTGAGAGTTATTCTGGAAAGGCCAAGGGTCATGCTAATTTAGGGAAATGGCTCCCCGCCACACCTCCCCCCCCCCCCCGTGGCTCTGCCTTGCCCCACCTCATCCTAGTTTCTGACCATTGAAGCAAAATCTCTTGGTTTCATCCTCTTTGAGGGCAGGAGAGGGTTTTGAGCAAGACTTTGGGCAAGACTAGGATTCACCTTATCTGACTCTCAACTCAGGAGTAGATCCTCACCATTCACTTTCCCCAATCAATGTTTAATTAAAAAAAAGTTTTTTTAATAGAGGTACTGGGGATTGAACCCAGGACCTCATGCATTCTAAGCATGCACTCTACCACTGAGCTATACCCACCACCCTAAAGTTTTTTTTTAATTTTCTTCTTAATTTTTACCTATAGAACGTAATCACCTTCTAATATTCTATATTTTAAAACATTTATTTTGTTCATTGTCTCCTCCCACTAACTTTTGAGCTCCATGTGGGCGGGGTATATTTCCCCCTGTTTTGGTTACTGATATATCCACAAATTAAGTGATCAGAGTTTTTGAATGAATGAAGGGATGGATCAAGTGTGTACCTTCTGAGGTGAGGGCTTTGTTGAGAACATGAACAATGGAAGGTCCTCTTGGAGAAAGAATTGGTACAGAGTGTTTTCTGAGCCGCAGTCAACATCAGGAACGATTGGGATTGGCATTATGGTAGGAGTGATCGCATCCTGGCATCAGATCTAAATTTATTCCTAGGAAAAAGGAGTCAAGGCTGGAGGCCAGCCTGTAAGAAGCAGTAGAGGAAGAGACTAGAGGAAGAAACAAGGAAAGTGTCCAGGGGGTACAGGGAGGCCAAGTCGCAGAGTGCCTAGGGTTATGTCCCAGGCAGGGCATCTGAGTCTGAAAAACATCCATGGGCAAACACTTAGTATTCTGTGGGCAGGGGCGGAGCAGAAGTGACAAAGTAGGGCTAGAGGACTGAGACTTTTGAAGAGATGCTTAGGGGATGGAGAAAAGCCCTGAGGCCATGGGAGAATCAAATTAAGAGTGTCAGAAGAGCGCTCACTGACAGCGAACTATGGGGATGGCCCACTGCTTAGTGATAGAAATGTTGGAAGCAAAGCATAAAGAACCTGGGGGTGTGTCTCAGGAGGGGAATGACAGCCAATGAAAAGCAGACATGGGCGTGGTACTGTCAAACTTCACGGGGCGGGACGGAAGAGACAGACCCAAAGGGGACCCAAGCCGGAGCCAATGAAAAAGCCTCCAGGTGGGCGGGGCGTAGCCCTAAGGCCAACGGTGGAGCCAATGAGAGCGGCGCCGAGCCCCCACGTGCCTCCCGCCCCGTGGGCGCGCGCGCCAGAGCCATGGGCAGCCGTTAGGGGCGGGGCCTGCAGCCGCCCGCGCGCGGCTCGCGCCCTCCCCTTTGTGTCGCCATGGCGGCGGCATCGGCGACGAGGACGACGAGCGAGGGATCCAGCGCGGCCGGCGCCTGAGGAGGCTACGCGACCATGGTGGTAAGGGGTCCACGCGGCAGTCAGTCTGTCGGCGAGTCAGTCTGTCTGGGCGCGGCCACGCCCCGCGCGCCCCGCCCCCGGCCCCGCCCGAGCCTGCGGCCTGCGCCCTGCGCCCTGCGCCGCTCCTCACCCTTCATCGCGGTCCCTCTAGACCCCCGGCTTGGTCTTGGGCCCAAGTCCTTATCCCGGCCCCGCCCCCTCTGCGCGCATCCCCCTTCCACGCCCTGGATGGGGGTGGACTGTTCAGAAGCCCCAGACTTGGGAGTAAAAAGGGCTGGTTCAGGGAAGGATCCCTCATCCTTCCAAGTGGCCCCAGCAGGGGCCCGCTGAGGCTCTCTGGGTCCTTCACCAGCCCCTATCCCAGAGCCATCCTCGGCGTCCTCATCCCAACCTCCACCCTTCCCTGGCCTAGCCCCCTCCTCCTCATACCTCCAGCCCTTTTCTCATCCTTGAGCCCCACCCCCACCAGGCTCCATCCTCAGCCTGACCCTTTTCTTCTTCTCATCTTTCTCACCCCATCCCAGTCCCTGTCAACCAACCCTCCCCTACCCTCCATCAGCCTAAACCTTTACTTCAGCCTCTCCAGCTGCCCCCCTCCTCCTTTCTCCACCCCAATCCCAAGCCTGCATTGTACCCCCAATTTGATCCTTAGGGCCTCTCCATTTTCTTACCCTCATCTACCCTTCCTGCTGTCTCCCTCTCTCACCATGCTGCTCCTGCTTATTCAACCATTCCCTCTCTCATTCGCTCACTTCACTATCACTGAGACCTCTGTGTAGCCCCTTTGCTCCAGGCACAGAAAGAGTCAGATCCCATCCTGCCTTGGGGAAGGAACTTCATGGGCTGGAGGAGGGCAGACCCAAGGGTGAGACCAAAGGATGAAGTCAGGATCATAGGGATATGAAGGAGGGAGAGGCTAGAGCCCAGTCTGGGGAATCCTCATCTGGCAGATGGTTAATTTATTCATCAGATTTTACCCGGCCCCTGCTGTTCAACCGAACTGGCACTGGACCCTGGGACTCAGAGTGGAATCAGACACAACCCTACCTGTAAGGCACATCAGTTCTGTGCCCAGCTGTGTGCTGGGCAATGCTGGGGAACTAGGAACTCAGCCCCAGTCCAGTGGGGGAAGATGGACTCGTCACCAGATGGTGACATCTCAGTGCTCAGGGCTGCGATGAGGGAAGCTCAGGCAGCATCCTCAAGCCTTGGATGGGGGAGGTTCAGGGGATGCAGGGGTCCAGAAGAGGGGCCTGACACTGTCTGAAAGGTCAGGAAGAACTTCAAAGTGGAGGGAACAGGAGAGTTGAGACCTAAGGGATGAGGAGGTGTGAACCTAGTGAAAGGATAGGGAAGTGTGTCCCATGCAGTGGAAACAGCTTTTGCAAAGGCCTGGAAGAAAATGAGAAGATGGTGCTTTTGTTGGACTCTCAGAAGTTTGAGAGCTCTGGAAGTGGAGGCAATGTGAAGAGATGAGGCTGGAGAGGTAAACAGACCAGAGAATTTAGACTTCATCTTAAAAGACAACAGGGAGCCATTGAAGAGCCATAATCTGTGGAGAGATAGAGGCAGATTTGTGTTTCGTGAAAGTTATACTGGCTCTTGCTGTGAAGAAGCTGGCAGGAAGGGAGAATGGAGGCAGGAAGACTGATAAGATGGGAGCTGTGATTGTCCTGACATCAGTGAAAGGCATGCAGAGGCACATATGGGAGACTGTGCTCTGCAGGGGCTATGGAAGGGTTTTAAACAGGGAGAGGTGGTACCAGATTGCTCTTTCCCTGACTCACCCTTGGTCCCTGCTCTTCCAGCCCCCCTCCGCAGGCCACACACGAAGAAGCAGCCCTCCCCTCAGCCCCGCCTTCACCTCCCCCTGACCTACCCTTCTACTCCATGCTTAGGGCAGTGTGTAGAGCAATTCGGGCCTGCGGGCCCAGGCTGACAGATAACAATGCGCCCGTTGTCTCTCTGCTCCCATCTCTGGGGGCCTCTGATTCTTCTTTCTACTCTCCAGGCTCGCAGCACTGACAGCCTGGATGGCCCAGGGGAGGGCTCCGTGCAGCCCCTGCCTCCCACTGGCGGGCCCAGTGTGAAGGGGAAACCTGGGAAGAGGTGAGAGGTGAGGGAGAGGCTCAGCTTCGGAGGGAGGCGCCAGGCACAGGAGCCGCTGCTCATCTATCACCTGTCCCCCAGGCTCTCGGCTCCTCGGGGTCCTTTCCCCCGACTGGCAGACTGTGCCCATTTTCACTACGAGAACGTTGATTTTGGCCACATTCAGGTATGGGGTCTGTACCCAGGTGGGAAGGTCAGATCCCACCCAACCCAGCACTATCAGCAACTTTACCCCTGAAACCGATCCCTGGGACAGGCTGCTCCTGGGCAGGAGCCACAGGGCAGAAGGGGAGAGCTGTTCATTCATTCATTTCTTCCTTTATCAGTTCAATGACAACTTTTTTTAGGTGTGTGTTCTGTGCCAGGACCCTGTACTCTGACTGATACATCACCAGGCCCTGTCTTTGGGGGAGACCCAGGAGGGGGACACAGACCCATCCCTAGATAATACCAATCTGGAGAGGTTGGAACTGGGGCCAGAGTGAGGCCCTCGCCTGGGCCTTTGTTTCCCTCTACAGCTCCTGCTGTCTCCAGAGCGTGAAGGCCCCAGCTTCTCTGGAGAGAATGAGCTGGTGTTTGGGGTACAGGTGACCTGTCAGGTGAGCCCAGCCACCCCGGCCCCTCATTTAGCCTGGCAGACTGGTTGCCATGGTCTTCAGCTCAGTGTAGTGGAACCACTGCTCCCTTCTGTCCTTCCCTGCACCCACAGGGCCGTTCCTGGCCAGTTCTCCGCAGTTATGATGACTTCCGTTCCCTGGACGCCCACCTCCACCGATGCATATTTGACCGGAGGTTTTCCTGCCTCCCAGAGCTTCCTCCACCCCCGGAGGGTGCCAGGGCTGCCCAGGTAAACTGCTTTTTGTCCCAGCCCTACCTCAGCCATGGTGTGTTCTCACTGGCGATGTGTGAAACCATCAAGACAGGAGGATAGATAAATATTTAAACACTGGTATGGCCCGAGTCCCAACTAATCAGAGGTCTTACAACTGCAGCAGGGTTCTGGAGACTCCCTCTGGTTTTAGGATCATGGAGAGTTCTAGGGTGTTCCTTGGGAGGGTCAGCAGGGCCAGACCAGTGGGGGCACACAGGGGCTTGGCATAGCCTAATTAGCAACTGATATGACCACATTTCAGGACTTAACAGAAAGCGGCATCCACGCATTCAAGTTGAATTTCAGCCCTGCCCCCTGCCAGGGGCAAGCCCGGGTGGTATAGGAGGGCAGTGGGCTTTCCTAGGGTCTCCTCACAAAGCCCACCTTGACAACCTGCCCCCAGATGCTGGTGCCACTGCTGCTACAGTACCTGGAGACCCTGTCAGGACTGGTGGACAGTAACCTCAACTGTGGGCCTGTGCTCACCTGGATGGAGGTGGGTCCGGCAGGGGGCTTGGAGCTGGGAG